TAAATATTATATACCTATTATAGTTTTCGCATACAAAATTGATAATAATAAATTCATTATAAATTATAATCAATATATTAAACTTCAGTTAGCTTAGAAAGTAATTAGTAAACTATTTGATAGAACGACAACGATTTCGTTTAAAATAATGACTATCTTGTTTTTGAATTTATTTTATGCACAGTGTGAGCAATGATATTACCTACTGACATTACAGAAAATATTAACATTTATTAACAAATAGTTTTTATAGATTTTAAATAATTCTTATACTTACTTACCAATAATTTAGTAGAGTAGTAGTTACAAACAAATAATAATTATCTTAACTATCACAATGTGCAGAAGAATTAAAAGGAATATATTAAAGAAAAAAATTAACTGTATTATTTTTTTTTGTACAAAATCCTATAGGATTAATTATAGTGGTTAGAGTTTTTAAAAAAAATTGAGAGTTGCTCAATCACTAACGAGTAATTTACTAATTTGTGACCTGGTGATAATTAATAATAATGAATTAACTTGTTTTTGACTGAGTTACATTATAATAAAATATAGTCACGATTATTATGAACTCTAAGTTGTTTAATCATGTTATAGTTATCACACCAAGGAGGTACCCATGCATTTGTTGTCTCCGTCCTACACACGTACGGCATAATACATTTTCGTTCACAAGTTTCAATAGTGTGGTGCTAGTTTTGATATTAGAATGAATGACCTGTTATCAAATTTTTAGTTGAGAACATTATCTGTGCTCAAGCTTGGATTTTATTCGATATTTTAATTTTCAAGCGTGATAATAATATGAGCATTTTTAGATTTTGATATTTAACATATTCATACTATCTCGCTTGAAAATGAAAACATCAACAAAAAATGGCCGACGCTTAAGAACAGATAATTTCTCAATTAACAGTTTGATAATAATAGGTAAATTTCACTCAAATATCAAAACTGATAGCACACTATTGAAACCAGTGAACAAAAACTCGTCATGTCGCATGCGTGTTACGACGGAGACAACAAAATTGCTGAACGTGTGTTTCGGACACTTTCGGCTTGATCGCCGAACTCGTCGTGCCGCAAAGCGATTTTACTAGCATGGGACCCTGGTAGAAGTATTCACGAAATGTGACATAACTCCGTTTGACTTGACTCAGGTCCGACAGCCGCGAGAGCCCAATGACTCGTTTTTGACGTCGTGCCTAACATTATTTCCGTCGTCCGTCTTATTTCACTTATTCCGAAATCGCTACAACAACAGCAACAACATTGTCGCCACCGAAGACGACGAAGATAATATAATAATATTATACGAGCCACTACGCGATTAGGTGCTCATGATTCCCTGGTACCCGGAAAGTGGCAGTTTCATTTTCGTCCGCTCTTCCTTTTCCTTTTTCAGTCTTTCAGTTTTTGTATAATTTTATTTTACATATTTTTACATATTTTCACCCGCGGTCAGTTCTTGATACGGCTCAAATATTACGGATACAATCTTTATCTTTTATCTATGGATACAATACAATATTGTTTGAGCTCAAATTTCTCGACGTCGCGGTCGGACGTGGTTTTTAGGCATTATTTGTATTATTATAATATTTTGTTGATATTCCGTTTTCCGCGATTACACGTAATTTTGTGGTAACCAAGCCTGTTGAGCCTCGTTTGTTTTAGGTTCTTACATCTTCGTTGGCCCAACTTGGAACTTCAAACACTTCTCTTCGTGTAGTTTTTTTTTAAGAATGTAGATAATCTATATTCATATTTCGTAAAGACAACTTTCAGTTTTCTTGGAAATATTTCCTAAATTGCTCGTTTCAAATAATTATTGGTCCAGTTCGATATTTGTTTGCGAGTTGGAGTTGGTAAAAAAATGAAACTTAACGAAACGCGTATACACACAGTAACAATAATATTATCGTTTATCGTCGTCGTTGACTATTTGACAGTATTTTCACGCACGAAAAAAAATCGAGAATGTGAATCGAGTAACTGGTTAGAGTCGCTTTCGAGAAAATCGCTACCAGGGTCGCATGAATACGGCACTCTGGTGATTACGGCCACCGCTGCCGGTTAAAACTGCGACTCCACAACCGCACGGTGCTCATCAAATTTCGTTCTGCAAAACATATGTTGTGGTTGTGTACTTTGATTTACCGTAAGAGTGAATTGACCTCTTATCAAACCTGAGGGCAACAACATTTATCTGTGTTTGACACTTAAGTTTTTCCGATATTTCAATTTTTATGCGAGTTATGAGCGTTGTAAATAGTGCAATATTTCACATATTTGTGAGTTATCAGATCGCTAAAAATTATTAAAATAACTCAAAAAACCAATGCACTATACATTGTACAATAATAAAAAGTATTACCTTGAGCACGTTTCTTGGCGCCAGACCTATTTAATCGACATGCGAATGTAAATTATTTAAATGCATATAGTTAGAGATTTACTAAGTTTGGTATACCTTAATACCTTATATCTTAAACCGTGTGTTAATGTAAGAGGGCACATTTGGTCAAAACGTAAAAATAAACTTGATTACTGAATTTAAATTATGAACCACTGCAATTTGAAATAATATTCTATTTATATTTTAAACCGTAATAATTGTCAAAATATACCCTCTCCTTGTATTTATTATTTTAATGTATTTTACGTTTTATATATTTAACATTTTAACGTGAACGGTAAACAATTTATGCTCATTTGTATGTAGGTACTTTTTGTCAATCCTACCGATGGACCTGATAACTCAAAAATATTTCTGAAAAATAATTTGAATTCGTTAATGTGTCTACTTGAGATCGATCAGGCCACATTTTAAGATACTTAATTTAATTTTTGAATAATTAACATTTAAAATGTAATACATTTTAATAATTCAAACAAAATGTATAAGAGTTAAGGAAAAATTATTTTAAAAAATGGTCTGATCGATGATCGATCTCAAGTAGACAAATTCGTTTCAAATCAGTTTTCAGAAGTCTCATCGCGTTATCAGGTGACAGGTCCATCGGTATGATTGACAAAAGATTGGTACATTTTGGTTGAATTAATTGTCCGTTTGCAATCCAATTAATGTTGATTGATATTAATAAAACGTACAATACGAATGTATTACAGTCAGGGCTGGATCTAGGGGTGGGGAAGTCGGGGATTTATCCCCGGGAGTATAATTTCCGTGGGCGTATTTTTAAGGTTTTAAATATTTTGTAAATTGAAAATTGAAAATGGACTTTAAAACAAAGTCAAAACTAGGTACAAAATAATATTTCACAGGAAATGTGTAATATTGGGTATGGGAATAAAATAAAATAATTTATTTTTAATCGAGATTAGTATTATAATAACTAATAACATTGATTTAAAAATTAAAAAGGACAAATATGAAATAAGTAAAAAATAGATAAAAAAAATAAATAGAAAAAATAAATAAAACCCGTCCGCAACTTACTGTCAGCGGGAGTGACATGCCTTAGTCTATCACAGATTAATGTACTCTCCGATTAGTGACATAATAAAGTATGGTAAATATAATTTAATATAATTACATCATTTTCTTGCATATAATATAATATTATGTAGATAATATTATTTAAAACCTTAATCTTAAAAATGGCCCTATTAATAATTGTTATTCATTGTTATGTGATTTTAAATTAACAAATATATATTTTTCCAAATAGGTGGGTACTGCATAAAATTATGTACTACATAAAATGTTACTTAGGTATTTTAGATTATTTATTAAATTACATGTTCGTACCTAGGCTTATAAAAGTCTTTGTATTTAACAATTAATGCCTTTTTATAAACTGAACTTTTTTATAAATATCACCATGGCCACTAGATAAATGTAACAGAACACAAAATGGAATATAATTTGTTATTTGTGTTTGCTTTTTAAATAGGTACAAGTATACAACTATTAATTTACTTGATAAACTTGATAGTACAAAAGTACAACATAATTAAATAATTAAAACAAAAATACTCTCCTATTGATTGTAGCCCAAGACAGATTGAATATTATGTTTGACATATTATATTAAAATAATTTAAAAGGAAATTTATATTCTATTTGGTTCGTTTTTTTTTTTATTATAAAGTGTTTTTTTCGTCTAATTTATTTTTATAGTTCGAGATGAATAAACAACCGGGTTATTATCATTCTGGAAATTTTTAAAATGTAGAATGTAGTTATTTTAGTATATAGGTACATTCAATCCGTAAGTGATAATCCATGACAAATATTTTTTTGTCGTGTTATAATCATTATATTACAATTTTCAGTACATAATAACATTTTTGTTTCATTGTATTTTTTCCGTACCTAGGGACATATTATTAAGTTTTGATTGTAACAAATATTAAAAATGAAAATGTATAATATTGTTAGGTATGTTGTAAATTGAATATTGTTCTTTTACATAAAGCGTTTTATATTAAAAGTAAGCAATGGATACCTAATTTATATTTGTTAATAAATAATTCATACATGTTATTATTATCAATATTATTTATTCTAAACCTGAAACTTAGAAATATTGACCACAGATTTTAGCTTTAAATACACCATTAAGAAGTGCTTCTAAAACTATATTACGTGATTATTTTAAAATTTAAAATGTTTAATTTTTAAGTTAAAATCGTTCAAATTCAGTTCCTCGCAATACTGTGTGAGGGTGCTTGATTTAAAAAAAAAAATACTAATTCTGGTCATCTCCCTGAGATGGGCGTATTTTTTTAATTTTCCCCGGGTGTTAAAAAGCTATGATCCGGCCCTGATTACAGTTATATAATACGGAGCCCCCTAATCATGTCAGTTCTAATTAATTAGGGTTGTGCGTGTCGGCTAGTCGCATCAGTCGCGGTGATTTAGACGGTCGGCGACCAGGCTATACAGTTCAATGCCGCGGATCATCGCGGTGCAGACGACTTCTGCGGGTGATGCATCCGATTTCGGGTTGCCGTCTGCGCCGCCTCGATCAGTCGATTTCGGTCGAGCCGTTAAGTGACCTCGACTGGCCCCGACGACTAATTACATGAGTACATGACAGTCCAAAGTTCCTCATAATTACATTTCGTTGGTCATCACGGCAATAACGAAGCCCCTTGCCACCAACGTCAAGATCGAGACGCTGTTTTGCCGCTTCAGCTACGGGCCGAAGCAGACGAGTAGTCAAGCAGCGATCTCGAGGATCCGCCGGACACGCTTCTAGTCCAATGCCGAACATCACGGTGCTGTTTAGTTTGGGCCGACATCGATTACGTCAAGACGCGAGTTTGAAAACAGCCGAACTAAGCATCACGTGCAGTCTTGAGCTTACAACTGTGCACTCGAGTTTGCCGCAGAAGCCTTGTAATCTGCAGGGTCCGAATCCGATGACCGACACCGAGGGGCAGCGGCGCCGTTACTGCGATCTGTGTGACCGTGTCTACCGTCGGTAAGTGCCAAGGGCGGTATTTGAATCAGTGGTTGCGAGGCGCGCGGAGTCAGTAACGGCCGGGCGGCGTAGTAGCGGTGTCAGTAATGGTTGTGTGGTGAAGTGGCGGTGTCAGTGTCGGCCAGGTGGTGTAGTAGCGGTGTCAGTGTCGGCCGGGTGGTGTAGTAGTGGTGTCAGTGTTGGCCGGGTAATGTGGTAGTGGTGGCGGTGTCAGAGTTGTCGCGGCGACTGTGGAGGCAGCGATAGCGTGGCGGTGTGATTGTGTCGTACATTATTATAATATTATAGTATGATATATCATAATATATATTATAATATATGATGACTTCCCTCGCGGTCCCTTGCGCAACAACCGCGGTTTGTTCTCCCACACCGCGGATATTATGTCACAAAACCGCGATCAAGTACCAGGGTTTCATGTACCGGTGGCGGCATTTCGACTGCAGAACTCGACCTCGGCAATCGGATCGCGTCGAGCCACCAGATCAAGTGTCACGCGCACCAGGACCGCATGCCCGAACGTCGTCGGGAGCACCGCAGCGCAGCGCAGCATAGCCTCTCTCCACCGACACCGTTAACCTGGTAACTACATAAGTTATAACTATTAATAAGTTTAATATTATAACTCATTAATTCATTATAATTTATATTTATTAAATCATTTTTAATAATGTTATAAGTTATAACTTATAACATTATAATGTTAAAATGTTATAATTTATTATAATTTATAATGATGATTTCACTTCGATCTATCTAAGAGTAGGACAAACACAGTGCACACGATTTACACAACTACACAGATCTAGAGGATAGACAGCGAAACCGACGAACCACAGCCTAGATTACGCTGTTTGCTGGTCGTTGGGGTTCGACTAGGTTCAGTCCGATATACCACAACACGGTCGACGTTGTCACGTCAATCGATATCCGTACCAGGAGTGTATGTTCAATGCTGCAGTGTGCAGGGCGAATAAATGTTATAGTTAGACAGTATTAGATACTTGTTGAGTAAAATAATATTGTAGCTACAATACTATTATAATCTATGGTATCCATGGTATCGGCTGTAGTCAATTTGCACCAAAATTGACCCAAAATATATAAAACATGTGTAATTTGCACCATTTTTTTTAAATGCGTTTGTAATTTGCACCACTCTCAGGTAGTAAGAAATAGGAATTGTAATTTGCACCAAAATTAAAATCGATAATTTTTTCGATAGTATACAAAAAAATTTGGTCGATAGTACCTACCAGTTTACAAGTTTCTATATCCTAATATAACTTGAGCTTAGTTTTTATCCATAAAATAGCTGGTCAAATTTTCACCTGTAGTAAACAATTTTGCTGAACATTTTCTCTGTGTACAACGCCAACGAATTATATTTGTAGTTTTTGTTTTATATGCAAAATAAAAAGTATGGTTATCGTATTCTAAAATATCTTCCCCTCGATTACTTTTAATTTACTTAACTTCCATATTTCAAGAAAAAAATTAAATACTGCAATAAAAAAATGTTACGTTAAATTACGTATTACGACGAAACGGCAAGACTAAATGTATAGCTTAGTAGGTATTTGATCAAAATAATGAACTGATATACATTATATAAATATATATATAACGCGATATAACGAGATTACGACCGACAATTGGACGTAAAACGTCAAAATATTACCAGATAAGGTGAAAAATCCCGAAAAATTATTATTGTCATTCGTGTTCATCTAGTCTTGACGACGCGTCAACGAGAATATCGAGTAATAACACTATCGATACTAATGATACTATCGAAAAAATAATCGATTTTAATTTTGGTGCAAATTACAATTCCTATTACTTACTACCTGAGGGTGGTGCAAATTACTTGCCCTTATTTTGGTGCAAATTACAAACACAACTTTCGACTACCTGGAGTGGTGCAAATTACATATCTTTAATTTGGTGCAAATTACATATCTTTAATTTGGTGCAAATTACAAACTCCCATGGTATCTATGGTATACTCAATGGTTATAGTGTATAATATAATATTATAAGATTATATTATTACTGTGGTATATGAGAATTAATTATAATGTTCGAACGACTGTATTATGTTATATAAATATATTATCTGCACGCCTCTTATACGCTACGTCGCTACGGTTGTATACTTGTATCTAAACCAGCATTGTTCTGGCGGGCAATAAAACTCAAAATCCAAATTGGGCAGTATCAAATATTAGGCGCCGTATCCGGGGCTCTCGTTGTAGGGTCTTAAGGGGTAGGTATTTCTTTGGGCATAAAGAAAGAAAATATAAGAAGAAAGCAGAAAAGTAGATTATCTACGAAGAAAGCCCAAGCTATAAATGTAAAATGTGATTTCTCAGAAAAATATATAAATATTGTAGTAACTTTTGGAAAATATTTCTGGCATCAAAATTCCTAATCGTATACGACCATATACAGCATTACAACGTGACAAATGGTTCGAGAATCACTGCCTTTATCCTTGAGTGTGTTACAACTTGAAACTTAAAGTCACTCTTAGTGACGATTGTTTAGGTCAAAACTCAAAAGGTCCCCAGTTGTTGTCCTTTGTGGCAAGTTATGCCATGCCTCATGGTCCGATTTGAGTCAATCAACAACTTCACTTTACTTCGACTTTTACTTTTATTAAATTGTTAATTTAATAAAGAAAAATGGGGGGGATCGTCACTATATAAGATACTAAATGAAACGAGATATATTATCAAGACGTAAATGTTCTAAATAATATATTTTATCAACATATTATCATTCTTGTATTGCATAATTCTTAACTATTTAAACTATTTAATTGAGATAATATGTGATGGTAAGAATTATCTATATTATTATATAATTACATACGAATTTTAATTTAATATATGTATTCGAATTTTATAAGTATATCTTCGAAATAGGTACGTATACTATGGTGTTTTATAACATTTAAAACACATTGTTGTCGTACAAACTTATAACTAAATAGAAAATACATATTACATACATTAAGAATTTAAAATAACCCGATATATCGAAATGTATAGTTTAATATTTAATTTATATTAACAGTGTCAATGTATACTGTCAAATGTCGGTATTATGACGGATTGTTTTGTCACAGTCAACTTATCAATACATTATTAATTACACTTTAATAAATGTGAACGAAACCAAACATGTCGCAATGATAGTCAGTGGTAACAATCACACTATACACACTTAAATTTCATAATATTCCTTTCCTAAGGAATGACTCCTGGAATTTATTATAATATTTTTATAGAAATAGGAACTTGAATTAATTTTATATTTTTAAGTATAAGAACGTAATATTATTGTAAATAGTTTGTTTTTCTCGGAAATATATATTTAACACAACGGGGAAGAAAAATTTCGTTTATCAAGTTTTTAATCAAATAAACGGACGTTTCCAAAATTCCAATCAATTTATTATTATGTTGACATAGGTACTAGTTGGTATTTTGATAATGATAATATTTTTTTAAATCATAGGTAATGTAATATAATTTTTAAGTGTTCTATAATAATGAACTTTGAAGTGTTTACGTCCATGAAGTCCCCACCCTCCTCCCTGATTTTGACATAGAGAGTCCACGGACTTGCAAGTTAGGGCCAACATTAAAAAAGTCCAACCTAAGACTTCGTGACAAAAATCGGCACATTAAAATTAGGGGGCCAACTTCACGTAGACGGGTAGCTCCCTGACATGTCTTATAACTGACTTTGGACATGCCAATGTGTAAGTAACTTATTGCAATCAACTTCATAGTTCATGTGCAAGTGAAGTATTTGACTAATAATGTGTTTTCATATTCAACACAATATCACATTGTTCATATTATATTTGTGAGATATTTTGTACACATTTGTACTCAAATATAAAAAGTTTATAAAAATTAAAAATTTTAACTTTGAAGTTAAACTAAGGTATGTACCTAACCAGTTACTCATTCAGAGGAACGAGGAATTGAACGAATTTTTATAAAAAAGAAACTTTAAGGGGCCTCTCAATGGCATTGATTTAAGGAGAATCATTTAGGCAATTTCTAATCTCGTCATCGCCACTCGAGATCTATGAGTTAGTCGTAAATGATTATTAGTGTGTGTGGCGTCCATGAGGGTCAATTGTAGCTTTGCGGAGGGCTCTCGCACGCACTCGCACGAACATGTCAATATGTAATATTTTGATCATGAAAAAATGTTTATTTTTCACTCAAACATACGATTCTAATTCCAACAGTACGTCGCAACGATTACCTCGATTTCCATTCTGACAAAATATTCTTATTTTCAACAACATGTACGAGGGAGCGACCGAGGCACATTTTTAAAATTGTATTTAGTTAATTAAATATTTAAGTTCGAATTTCTGTATTGTTTTTTGAATTTTTCAGTTTTTATTGCACTTTAAATTACAAAAATTAAAAATGTGTATATTACGGACAATCAAAATATTTTTTCAGAATAAAAAACGTGATAATTGTCGACACGTATCGTTGGAATTAGAAACAGTAGTTTTTGACAAAAAAAAGACGTGGTAGTGAGGCCCCTTAACAACACTGTGCAATGATATTATCTATATACAGAGTGATTCTCACCAAGCATGCTCATCACAACATTTTCCGATTTTCGTGATTTATGAAAATTTAGTTTTTCATAAATTGTTATGATTTTTTGTGATATTAGGAGTATTCCGCGGTAATACAAACTTCTGTTTTTAAAATAAGAACCCCCGTTTTTTACCGTTAATTATTTAA